GTGACCAAGCAGAGACAGTGGTGGGGGACAAACACGGCCAAGGAACTGGAAAGTAAGTTCCAGGGCACTTCATGAGCCATAGACCAATGCCCTTCTCACAGAAACCCCTCTTGGGTATGGGAGCTCCTTACTCTTCTTGTCGTGTTTGTGATGCAAGGCGTCAGCTTCTGCCTTCATGCTGTAGTCCAACTGCATGAGCAGGGGTTCCAGGCGAGTATACATCCTCTGGATCAGCTCATGATAAACCACCAGGGGCCACAACAGGATACTGAGCACTAGGAGGTTAGAGAGTTCACTCAGAGCTCCCTACGCCTATTTCCTAAGGGCCCCCATTTAACCGGTCCCTAAACAGAAAAAGCTGAAGGCTTTCTGGAGGCTGTACCAACCTCCTCCCTCCACATCTACTACTCTCCTCCCCAGATGACTCTTGTACTATTACTAATACTCCAACACCCCCTGGAGACCTCCGTAAATGGATAACCAGAGAGAGAACACCATCCTCCCTTAGAGTCAATCAATCCCTTTGATTCAGTCCAGTAAAAGAGAAGGAAAGGGCTTCAGGAAAGGCAGGGGTTAAACCCTACTCACAGACAATGTAGGAAATCATAATCCCCGGAACATAGTGTCCCAATACAGCCAGCACAGCACAGCCAGAACAAACTCGAGCACAGAACTGCAGAGAAGAGCAAAGGGTCTAAAAAGTATATGCCCCATTCATCTGGGCAAGAAATTGCTGCTCAGCTGACAGAAGGAGGGGTATGCCTTCTAGGGATGTGGTGATCCAATCTAGTCAAGAGGATGCCCAAGACCACCAATCCAAGAAGTTTACACTAGACATCACCAAACACCCATAATTCAAACTGATCTGCCTTGACAAGATGCAGTATAAAAACATCAAATGCGTATTCCCTGAAATGAGACTACTCCTGTACCAAGCTACTACCGGTGAATGTTGCCTCAAAAAGGCACCGGCCCTCTTTCTTCAGTGTCCAACCAGCCAGGGATTTCACGTTACTCCTCCCCGCCTCCCACCCCCCTCTATTTCCCCACAGTGCAGGAAACCGTTTTATGATGTGGAGGTTACCTGAGCTGGATTCTGCCTCTTGTACTGCAGCAGCTCTTGCAGGTGAATCTGGAAGGTGAGCCAGCTCTCAGCCAGGTATCTGCACAACTCGGGCACACTCAGCAGGTGCGGCCGGGCGCCTGACCCCGCACCCTCACTGGGGAGACATGACATGACCCCTGGAAGCCTCAGACACCAGCTTCCTAGGCACTCAAATCCCTCTGAGAATGCCAATGAGATCTTCACTCTAAGCAAGTGGACAACCCCACTTCCCAAAGGGAGGCTGTTCTGAACTTGGGGAAGCAAAGCCCAGAGTTTCCAAACCTCTGCCCCCAAAGGAGCAGGCACCCAAAAACCTAAATAGGAACCCAGGGCCAAACTTGTTGCCAGTCCATTTGCTATGCTGGGGTCTGTGCCTGCAGAAGCTGCTGTGCACTGTTTGGTGACATTGGCACCAAAGCAAGACAGGGTTTGGGTATTTGTCTTCAAGAGGTGGCCTGCACTCACCTGTCAGAGTGTGTGTCCTCTGGAGATGATGCTATAAAGAAAGTAGGGGAACAAGTTGAGTGGTAGGGCTCTGGGAGACACTCCCCGGGGCAAGAATAGTTGCCCCTCCTCTGCATTCCCAGAGCACTTTCTTCAGATGCCAATTACAGAAAAAATTACATTGTTATTGCTGTTTGTATGTCTGTCTCCTCCTTTAAACTTCACTCTTTTCTTCTCTTTTTAAAAGAATTTATTTTTAAGTAATCTCTACACTCAACATGGGGCCCAAACTTACAACCTCAAGATCAAGAGTCACACGCTCCACCAACTGAGCCAGGCAAGCGCTCCAAACTTCACTCTTTCCAAAGATTTTTTGATTTGCAAGACAGAGAGAGAGAGAGAGAGATCAAGCGCACAAGCAGGGGGAGTGGCAGGCAGAGGGGGAAGAAGGCACCTCACTGAGCAAGAAGCCCGATGCAGGACCCGAGCCCAGGACCCTGGGATCATAACCTGAGCTGAAGGCAGATGCCCAATGACTGAGCCACCCAGGCGTCCCAAACTTCACTCTTTTCAAACACATCTTTTTTTTTTTTTTTAAAGATTTTATTTATTTATTTGACACAGAGAGCACAAGCAGGGGGTGCAGCAGACAGAGGGAGAAGCAGACTCCCCACGGAGCAGGGAGCCCGATGCGGGACTGATCCCAGGACCCTGGCATCATGACCTGGGCCGAAGGCAGACGCTTAACCAACTGAGCCACCCAGGCGCCCTTCAAACACATCTTATTCATGTTTACATCCCAAGCAACTCACACAGCCTGACCTCTAATTGCTTCAAAACACCTCTGTTTAGTAGATACACGAATAACAACAACAAAACAGAACCTAATACTCCTATGATTCCTGTGGTATGTGAAACTCTACCACAAACATAACACATATTTACTCATTCAGTCTTCACGTCCTTATTAAGTAAATTTTATCTTTGTTTCACAAAAAAGAAAACTGAGGCCAGCAGAAGTTGAGTGGCTCTTACAAGATCATATGCGTGGCAAATGGCAGAGCAAGCAACGGAACCCAGGCAATGTGGCTGAAGAGTCCACACTCTTTAACTACTACACTCACGTAATGCTGATTCTGAGAAGAGGGCAATTCTCCATTTCCCAACTAGGGAAGTGGTGGTGCCTGGCAGTTGGTTGCCTGCTGTACATTTTCCCTCCCCTTTCAACCCACCCAGCGGGGTCAGGCACAAAGCAAGTGCACAACGGGGCTTGGTGAATGAAGTTAACACTCACCTGAGATGTCAGGGAAAAAGCGAGGCTGCCAGAGATCCAGCAGAAAATAGGCCAGAAGCGAGACGCTGAGTAGGAAGAAGGGCCGGAGGGACGACGAAGACAGCAACCTTAGGGAGAAACAGGCACCTCGGCGGTGAGTGGGTGAGAGGCTCCTGCATCCATGGCGAAAGGCTGAAAAGCGCCCACTGATGGGGGAACGGGAACCTCCAGGCCTAACTCGAGACCCGAGATAGAGGAATGGGGCAACCCCGACGGACAACAGCCAGGGGAAGGGGGTCATTCCCCCGGGGCAAGTGTAACCCCGGGAACAGGAATGGTGCTCGCGGCCCCTCCCGCCCCCGCTCGCCCGCGCTGCCCGGCCCCGCCCCCTCCTCCTCCGCAGCCGTTACCAGAAGAGGCCGTTGAGCGCGGCCGCCGTGACCAGGCTGTGCAGCGGTTTCTCCCACACCAGCAGCCGCTGCGCTGCCGCCAGCACCGCCTCCCAGCCGCGAAGCCGCAGCCACAGCGTCGTGGCCAGGCGTCCCACCGCCTCGGCCGTGGCCGCCTCCTCCTCCGCCTCGCCGGTGGCCTCCCCCATGCCTGGGCTCAAACCCAGGCCCAGGCCGAGGCTGAGGCCCAACCCCGGGCCTCCACCTGCGCCGGTGTTACCACCGCCACCGCCGCTCGCCATAGCCCCGTCGCAGCCGCCGCCCGACCCCGCGAGGAGCCAGGGCTGCGCGGCCGCCGCCGGGGGCGCGTCAGGCGGAAGGGGGCGCACGCCGCGGAGAGCGCAGCCCAGGCCGCCGAGGCCCGTCACGTGACGGCGGAACAACGAGCCCGTCACGTGACGCACACTAACCGCCGGGATAGGGCGGCCCGCGCCTGCGCGCAGGCAGCTCCCAGCGACCCTGCTTCTGCGCAGGTTCGTGTTGTGGCTGCTGGTGTAGTGATCCCCCGCCCGGTTGGTGCGCTGTTGTGCTCTGCGGAGCCGAAGGACTGTGTCTCCGCGTTTCTGCACCCCAGCTCGTTTTCTTCTCCCTGTGTAGGCAGGGCGGCTAGGGAGTTGGTATTCCCGGTGTGATGCGCGCCGAAGGGGCAGGGAGTGGGCTTCCAAATGCCCAGTGTCCCAAATGCTTCTGCTCGGGAAGGGCGGCGGCCGTCCCATTACTCAGCCCTTGACTTACTGGTCCATCCAGTTCCCTCCCCTCAGCGGATAAACAAACACCAGCGCGTGACTCGACCGACTTAAAAACAGCTTCATCTAGTCAGAAAAGTTGTTTTCTCCTCATCCGCTTCCGTAAACTTTACTGCCTGCACGTACCGGAACTCTTTCCGATCCCTTGCTCAAACAGGAGATTGGGCTTGCGGGATGAGTTTAAAAATAGAATCCTGTTAGATGTTTATTTTGGGGAGGCATGCTAATACCATTTATTGAGGCTTACAACGTACCAAGCGCTTTGTGGTCCTTTGTGATCGTTTAATTTCTGCAGTAACCCCACAAAGTACGTAATTTGGTTTAGAATTCAAACTACTGAAAGGAGGGTATACAGCAAAAAGTTTCCCTCCCACCTTGACCACAGTGCACCCACTGTTAAGTTTTTTCTGTATTCTTTCCGATGTTTTGTATGTATGTACATTGCTCTGTGTCATCTTTTTGAAAACATGTGGCAGCCACTCGTCCTGCATCTTGGTTTTACTCACATTATCTACATTGGTACGAAAAGGTCAGCCGGGCTCGTTCATCCTCAGTGTGGCATGGTCCCCTGGGAATTGTCCCCATTACCCAGACGAGGACACGCTAGGGCTCGGGGCGACCAGGAGGAAGGCGAGCCCGGCTCCTCTGTGGCGGTCGGGGCTGGCGGCTGGGCCCAGCGGGGTGGCAGGAAGTGCCGGGCGCTGACTCGCCGGCGACACCCCTACGGCTAGTAAACGCCGGGCAGTCGCGCGGCGGAGCAGACTCGCTGCACGCGCCTGGCAGCCGGGTCTTCTCTCCACTGGGTGAGGTGAGCGCCCCGGGCCCCCGAGGCCCGCACCCGGCGCCCGGATCTCGGGGCCCGCAGCCCCGCCCGGGGCGGAACAGGAAGAGGCGCCCGCCAGCCCGGCCCCGCCTGCCGCCGCGGCGCGAGTACAGGGGGCTGCGCTGGCCAAGGCGGCGGTCCGCGCTGGGGAGGACGGCGCGCAGGCGAGGGCTCCGCGGCTCCCTTACCACGCGTTCCCTTCCACGTTCGCAGGGCGGCGAGTGGCGGCGCGATGGACCTGGCGGGGCTCCTGATGGACGAAGAAGGCACCTTCTCCCTCACCGGCTTCCAGGACTTTACGGTGAGAGCGCGGCCCGCCCCCTCCTCGGCCTCCCGGTGCTTGAGCCCGGACCCCGGGCGCTCCCCTGGAGACCCGAGCGGGGCCGTCAGCTAGCCTGACGGCTCGGTCCGGAAGCCAGGCGGCAACCGCTCAAGCCTTGCTTACTCGAGGCCCCGGATCCTTGGGGCCCGAGGGAGAGCCGCGGGGTAGAGGAATGGAGATAGGGTTAGCCAGCCCGGGACCTTCTCGGAGGACCTCTCCTGGGGAGCAGTCAGTGGCGGAGGATTCTCGCCCCCCACCCCCGACCCCCCACTGTAGATAGGCTGCCATTGGCAAATAATCCGGAGAACGGGGTGGGGTGGGGCATGGGCTTCACTAGCAGTGAGGTGAGCGTGCTGCCCCACACCCCACTTCCACGCAGGAGCCAGGATCTCCACTGTAGCCTTCCCTGCCCTTCACCCTCCGCCACCTGCCGTTTTTCAGTTCCTCCCAGGACACCAGAAACTGAGTGCTCGGATCCGAAGGAGACTCTACTATGGCTGGGACTGGGAAGCTGACTGCAGCTTGGAGGAACTCTCCAGCCCCGTCGCAGGTTAGTGTTGCGTGATTGGACAAGTGAGAAGCATGAAGATGGGGTTGTCAGCCGTCACCGAAATGAGGAGGTGCATACCCCATAAGCTACGCTGTCTGGTCATAGCTAACTTATTGCTACCTAGTGCAAGGACCCGCTTTCCGTTTCACATTTTTTTCAGTCCAAATGAAAAAAACATCGGAGTCTTACAAATTTATATCACTCTTGATTTGTACATGAGACACATATACGTACCCCGAATTCACAAGGCCTGTTCATTTTCTCAGATGAGCGGGGCGAAAGACAAATCTAGGTAATTTCAGGTGACCTGGAAATAAGCCTTTCTGTTGGAAGGAGCTGAAATTCAAATGTGGAATGGGCCTTTTGTCTCAACATGGGAGAATTTGATCTATTTTGTTACTGTGGTCCTGTTCCTAAGGCCTCAGATCGTGTAGAGATCTGAGTTTTCTGCTGATAGCTGTGGGAAGTAGGTGTGCATGGGGGCGGAGTGGTAATTGAGGAGTTCTTTGCATACTCTGCCTTCTTTCGCCTCCTGCAGACATTGCTGTGGAACTGCTCCAGAAGGCAGCCCCCAGCCCTATTCGCCGGCTGCAGAAGAAATATGTAGCTCATGTGTCCCGGTGAGCCTGGAATTGAGGGGAACGGGTTGAGAGTGTTTGGGCCCTAGGGAACGGGAAATACTTATCTCTGAAGAGAAGATGTAAAGACACAGGGGTGAGCATCATAAGAGTTCTAAGAGCAGAAAGATCTCTGGGGTTCATTAGTGACCCTTTCCACCACGCAGGGAGGCGTGCATCTCCCCGTGCGCCATGATGCTTGCTCTGGTGTACATCGAGCGGCTCCGGCATCGAAACCCAGACTACCTACAGCATGTGTCATCCTCTGACTTGTTCCTGATCTCCATGGTAGGACGCCTCCTCCCCTTCATCTCCCTGGTGAGCCAGGAGCTGGGTGCCAGCTCTTCTGACAGTGCTTCTGGCCCCTTTGCAGATGGTGGCCAGTAAGTACCTCTATGATGAAGGGGAGGAGGAGGAGGTCTTCAACGATGAATGGGGCGCTGCAGGGGGCGTGGCTGTGCCCACTCTCAACGCCCTGGAGCGGGGCTTCCTGAGTGCCATGGTGAGTGGCTGTTCTATCTCTCACTCAGTTCCTCTGAGCTCTCATTGTGTTCCTTTCATACTCTGCTTTTCTCTGTCAGCGTTCTGTAGTTTCTTTGTTTCTCTTTTTGCCTCTTCTCCTTGTGTTTTTCCTTATTAGTGGCTTCCCTCCCCACGTTCTGGAGGTTCCTGGCATGGTGAGGCCAGAAATGGAGCAGCCGCTGCCGCCTCCCCTCCCCCCCCATTCCCTTAGGCCCTACATGTTACACTCTGAGTCACAGCTTATCTCCCTGGGTTCTGATTATTTGCATCCAGACTTTCTCTGCCTCCTGACTCTGAGCTCCCTATGGGCGTGGAGCAGTCTTAGGATTATTTTCTCTCTTTGCCCTTAATGGAGGGTGTGCTGTGAAACCAGGTAATGTGGTGTTAAATGAGTTAGTATGTAAAAGCTCTTGGGACGTATCTGGCACAGGGGAAGTCTGCAGGAGCAGTGCTTGCAGGTGGTGCGGTGGTTCTGGTTGTTAAGTGACTGTGGCTCATATCTGAGCTTGCTCGGTGCCCTTGTCTTCCTGCCCATAGGATTGGCGCCTTTACACTGATCCTCGGGATATCTTTGAGGTGCTGAGCTGGCTGGAGAGCTGGTAGGTTCTAGAGTTGGGGAGAGGGCTCAAGGGATTTGGGGGCTTAGACATAAGAGGTCGACAAAGAGGAGGGTCCGTGTAACTGGGGGGAGGGAGGAGACAGGAAAGAGAATTGCCCAAGGCAGTGGTTCCTAAACCATTGGAATCACCTTTGGAAGGGCGGCAGGAGCTTATTTTAAAATACAGATCTCAGCCTCATCCTCAGTTCCTGGATCAACAGGTAGCCTAGGAATCTGTACGTGTAACAGGTTACCCAGTGTGTCCTAGTGGGTCCCCAGGGGAATGAGGCTGCCCTGGGCCAGCTGCGGGAGAGGTGTAGATGCCCTCTGTCTTTCTCCCCCGCCAACAGTGTGGCTGAGCAGCAGGGGCGGCGGCGGGGCTGGTACACCTACACAGACCTGTGTGTGCTGCTGGAGCAACCGGCCTGGCAGTTGGCCCTGGGCTCCCTCTGCCAGCGCCTGGCAAAGGTGAGGAGGGTTGGGAAGGAGAGGGGCCGGGAGTGGGCTGGTGTGTAGGGCGGGATGAGCAAATGCCGGAGGCCTCAGAAGATGGGCTTTGAGAGTAGATGGTGAGAGAGAGCTCTAACTCGAGCAGACAAGGGTGGGTGTGTTAAAGGCAGAAGCGGGTCTTGGGGGAAGGGTGTTTGGGCACTGACTTTTCTGACCTTCTCTCCCGCAGCTGTCCTGCCTGTTAGCTATGACATATGTGAGTAGCGTGGCCCTGGTGGTGGCCTCAGTGGCCGTAATTCACCAGTCCTTGGGGCTGTCCTGCAGCCCCTCACCAGGTCCCCCAGACCTTGGACTGGCCTCCAGGTGCCTCTTGGAACCCTGCATACCTTCTTCTGTGCCACAGTGCCTGCCATGTCCTGTTAATGTCTCCGGTGGCCTAGAAGGCGACACAGGGCTGCGTTCACTCTGGGGCAGTCTCCTGGCCTCACTGACTCCTCCACCATTGCCTCCCCCAGACCCTCCTGCCCCTCCCACTCTTCTCCAGAACTGTCCCCTTTGCCAGAAGCTCCAGAGAGACTCCCCAAGCTGCCATGCCTGCCACCACTCCAACCATACAGTCCCCACTGGGCCCCCCAAACCTGGGTACCACTCCCATGGCCTGGCTCCACCCTGGCCCTGGAGCCCAATGCCCCCCCTGCTTTCCCAGCCCCAGCAATGTTCCCTTTTCAGTGTCATGGAGTTAGCCCGTCTCAAGTCTTTCATTTTCCCAGGTTAGGCAGGCCTCCAAGGAATGCAGTAAGAGGATCTGGGAGTCCCTGAGAACCTGGAGGGGCAAAGCTTGATTTAGATCCTCTCTACCTCTCTGGGTCCTTGGCTGGTCCCTGTCCTCTTAGGTGATGGAGCTTAAGGGGTTGTGGGGCAGAAAGACTGAAGGTCACTCACTCTCCTAGACCTCAGTGGCTGGCTGCTTGGCCAGGGCAGTGATGGTACCAGGGGAAGCTTCAGCTTGGTGACCACAGCCAGCCAGAGGAGAAGCCCCTGTCTCTCTACCTCCCTGGCTTCTAGACTTTTGCGTTTGAGTTCCCTAGGATGGAAGGGTAAAAGTGGGGTGAGGGAGAGAGGGGACGTTGACTGGGGGCCTGTGTGATGTCCCTGAAGCAGGAGAGCCAGGGACGGATAAGGCTAAGGTGGGATCTGCCGAGGGAAAGTGGGGGGGCGTGGGGGGAGGGGGAACCCTCTCCACACCCATCCCCCCGGATATAGCCTAAAGGAGCCAGGGACTATTGGGACCTTCAGCCTTTCCCTTTTGTCTTCCAACCTCTTCTTAATACCTTGCTCCTGGGCTTCCCTTTCTTCCGGTTTTCTCCTGGGTGTTCTCTTCACAGGCCACTCTGGCCACCGCTTTGTATCTGGGTTTTTCACGCTTTTGTAGAACTGAGGTTTCAATAAACAGTTTAAGTTGCATGGCCTGGATTCTTTCTTCTGCAGCAGCCCTGGAAGAATCTCCCCACCCCCTGTCCCATATCTGGATTCTAAGCCTTTCTACTTCCTGAGCCCGTCATCTTGCAACTCGTTCTCCCGGAGCCCCATTTTAGGACTTCCCTGTTGTTTGAGGGCCACCTGGGTGGCTCAGTGGGTTGGGCGTTTGACTCTTGGTTTCGGCTCAGGTCATGATCTCAGGCTCATGAGATCAAGCCCCGCATCGGGCTCCGTGCTCAGTGGGGAATCTGCTTGAGATTTTCCTCTCCCTCTGCCCTCCTCTACACAAGCGTGCACTCTCTTATTTAAATAAATCTTAAAAAAAAACAAACAAAACTTCCTTGTTGTTTGATGATTACAGACTCCCATTTCAAACTTACTCATCCCTGCTTTCAGCACCTTGGGGCCCCTAGTGCTGCTTGACTTGGGTGCTGTGGGGCACGGATGGGTGATTCTACCATGCCTGAGTGGGCCCTGTCTGTCACAAGTTCTGGGGGGGCCCTATCCTCGTGGATTCTGAGAGGCCAAGTTAAGTGTCCTTGGCAAGCCCTAAGGATGCCTCTCTCTCTATTCTATCAGTCTGGTCTGACACCCGGTGGTAGTTGGTGTTGTTAAGACAAGTCCAAGGCGGGTTATCTGAAGAAGGAAAACTTTTCTGGCACCTGGACTGAGGGTATTTGGGACCGGTCGTACTGCCCCCTAGGGGGCACTCTGGAAACGGGGCATTTTTTTGATAGAGGCTAACATTTGAAGGGATGCTACTGGCATTTAGCTGGGCAACCTGAAAAGCTTCAGGCCCCTCCCTTATGATGAAGAATTCTCAAGACAACTTTCGAATGACCCACAGGACATCACGTATATGAAAAGCCTGTTTATCTGAACCTAGAACTTGTTAACACGTAAACACGAAATCGTTTTTGCACGTTTTGAAAAAGACGCCGTTTGCCAGGCGTTTGTACCTACGTGTAAATTAAAACCGGGCTTTTCCTTGTTGAGCACTTTGCCAAGAACCGGCTCATTATTTTGGAACATCAGGTCACCAATGGCAGCGCTGCTTGGTACATGAGTTGGCAAGAAAGCAGCAGTATCAGTCGCCGTCGCAGCTGCCGCATCCACGGTGATTCTACGTAGGGGGTGGGCCGTGGATTACATCGCCTTCTTGTTTAGCTGGGCCCAAGCTTTCACATGTCAAATACTTGTTATCACCAGTCACCTTCATTTCTCCTTTCTGTTAACGGTGAGAAAATTGTATGGAGTTGTGCTCACTGTTGCCATGCACCATGGATGGATATTACCCATGCATTTCCTTCCCAGGCAGCCCCCATGGGGGCTGGACCCTGAAAAAGTTGAAAACTGGGATAACAGCCATCTTTCCAAATGCTGGTGGGGAGGAGGGAACACTGTAAGACCTCCTCGGGATATTTTATAAGTCTTCCCAGCCCACTTACCCTGCTTTGCAGAGCGTGGAAGAGGGGATCTAGATGGAGATTCTTGGGGGGAGGGGTCCAGAACGTGGCTCCCCAGTTAATGGGTGATGGAATTTGCACAAGAGCTGGGCAAAGGTGAAAGGGCCTGTCCTGCCCCAAATCCCTCATCCCTTTGCTCCGCTTCACTGACCCCTCCACCCCCCTCCCCGCTCCAGGCAGCTAACTTCATCCAAACTCTGACCTCTAACACTCTCTACTTAACTCTGGCCCAGGGCAGCCAAGACGAAGAAGAAGGCAGGGCAGCATGAGCCGATCATCCCCCCATCCCATCCAACTCCAATCCATGGGCCCCCAGGATGCCCTGGTTCCCCGGTCGCCGCCACCGCCACCAACGCCTGCTGTCCAAAATCCTTCCTCTAACCCTTGGGCCTCTCAGTGTGGGCCTCCTCCCTGGGGCCTCAGCTGTCTTCTGGCTCTGCAGGTAGGAGCAGAGGTGCAGGAGTTGGTGCTGGCTGAAGGGATAGCTGGGGGGAATAGGTGTGGCACGAGAAACCCTCTGGAAATAGCTATTTCCACCCCTTTTCTGAAGACCGCCCTTCCCACTCCTCCCCCTGCAGCATATCTTGGTCCTGGCTTCTCTGCTCTGTGCCTCCCACCTGCTCCTGCTTCAAAGTCTCCCCCCAGGAGAACTTTCGTACTCCCCTGCGCAGCTCTTGGCCTCCAGCCTGTTTTCGTGTGGTGTCTCTACCACCCTGCAAATTTGGATAGGCAGCAGGTGAGGGGAACTCCCTGGAGAGAAGGGGGCGGGTCCTGTGTGTGTGTGTGTGTGTGTGTGTAGGTGTGTGTGTACTTGTGCGAGTGTAGGAGAGGCCTGAGGACTGCTTTTGGCTGCCACATTTCCAGACCTGCCAGGGTTGCTGTTCCTACAGGCTCCCTCTTGTCCAGGCTCCATCCTTAGAGTTCCTTGTCCCTGCTCTGGTGCTGACCAGCCAGAAGCTACCTCTGGCCATCCAGACACCTGGAAACTGTGAGCACAAAGCAAGGGCAGGCGGTGAGGGTGGGGTGGGGTGCCAATCTGAGCCTCCAGGCATAGGTGGTTTCAGGATGGAGAGCGGGCAGTGATGGGAACTGCTAGGCTTTGGGGTCTTGGAGCTGTGCCGAGCACGAGGTAGGACTATAGAACGCTGGGGTTCTGTCCCACTTACCTCTCTCCTCTCCACGCCCCCACTTTTCCCAGCCTCCCTTGTGCTGCGCCTGTGTGGGGGGCCTGGCTGCCAAGGCCTGGGGCTCTGGAACACTTCTCTCAGAGAGGTGAGTGCCTGGGGGTGGGGAGCAGGAGGGCTGCAGGTGGTGCCAGGATGGAGGAGGTTCCTGTTTCCAGTTGGTGGGGACTGAGATGGTCTGGGGGAGGGATCTGGGGCAGGGACCCACCCCTGGAATTCAGAATTCATTAAGAAGTCCAGGGTGACACCAGAAAGGATGAATACCTACCATTTACATCAACGTGGATGGAACTCGAGGGGATTATGCTAAGTGAAATAAGTCAAGCAGAGAAAGACAATTATCATAAGATTTCACTCATATGTGGAATATAAGAAATAGTGCAGAGGACATAGGGGAAGGGAGGGAAAACCGATAGGAGGAAATCAGAGAGGGAGACAAACTATGAGGAGTCTTGACTCTGGGAAACAAACTGAGGGTTGGAGGAGGGGTGGTGGGTGGGGGATGGGGTAACTGGGTGATGGGCATTAAGGAGGGCACGTGGTGTGATGAGCACTGGGTGTTATACGCAACTGATGAATCAATGAACAGTATATCAAAAACTAATGATGTACTATATGTTGGCTAATTGAATTTAAATTTTTAAAAATAGAAGAAGAAGAAGAAGTCCAGGCTAAGGTCCACTCCATTGAGCAGAACGCTTCCTCTTTTGTCCTTTTCTTGGCTCCTCCAGGTGTCCGGGGCTGTGGTGGTATCCGGGCTGCTGCAGGGCACCCTGGGGCTGTTGGGGGGTCCTGGCCACTTGTTCTCCCACTGTGGGCCCCTGGTGCTGGCCCCCAGCCTGGTGGTGGCAGGGTTCTCTGCCCACAGGGAGGTGGCCCTCTTCTGCTCTACTCACTGGGGCCTGGCCTTGCTGTACGTAAGTCCTGAGAGGCGTGGGGTGGTAACCAGTGGGTTGTGGGGCCCTGGGGGAGGGCAGAGCAGCTGGCCCTACCCAACTCAGCAGCCATCTGAGCAGGGCCGATCCTTTGTGGATTTGGAATCCAGGATTTTTGCTGGATTCATTTGCTGGCTTTGCACTGTCTCTCGCTGACCCCCCCCTCCCCCCACCAGGGTAGCCTCTTTCCTCTCTTCTCTGGGGTCCCTTTTAGGGAATTCTGCCACTCCTACCTCCATTAACCCCCACGGGATGCCTGCTTCCTCTTGCTCCTAAAGCTCCTTCTCTCTCCTAGGCTTATCTTGCTCATGGTGGTCTGTTCTCAGCACCTGGGCTCCTGCCAGTTACGTCCCTGCCCCTGGAGGCCAGCTTCAAACTCTTTTCCTCACGCTCCTGTTCCGGTCTTCCGGCTCCTGTCGGTATGTTGGGGTCTGGGCAGGGCAGTTGAGGGGAGGAGGACTGGCATAGAATGTTTGCTCAGCCTGCTACCTTTTGGCTTCTGTCTACCCCTCAAAGCCTGGCTTGGAAGGTTCTGGGGGAGGGGTTCTTTCCTGGCTCAGTCTTGCTCCTCAGGTGCTGATGCCAGTGGCCTGTGTGTGGATCATCTCTGCCCTTCTGGGTCTGCGCATCATCCCTCCAGAGCTGTCTACCTCCCCTGACGTGCCATGGGTCTGGCTACCTCACCCAGGTAGGTTTGCTCTTCGTCCCCCATCCTCTGACTCAAATAAAGGGCCTATTTCTTTGGACTCAAGATTGAGTGAATTTTATTTCTGAGTTAAGTCCTGTGTTTTCTCAAAACAAACAGGGAAGAGGAGTTGCCAGTCTGAGGGGCAGTGCCGGCCCCTCATCACAGGTGTTTTATTGAGTGTTAAGAGACATCTGCAAGCCCACCACTCCCCGTTGATACTCCTTACCCAATTTACGCCTTTGTGCCCCCTCCTCCCACAGGCATTTGAGTTGGTGACCTAAGTATAAAAATTGCTTTTGAGGCACCGTGTACAAAAGTTGTTCATTTGTCAGTTTAGTAAAGGTCTGTTGAGTGCCGATTTTGTGCTGGGCACATGATAGGGGACATGGTGATAAATATGACAGACACAGTACCTATAATCATGAAGCTATATCTGCTGGGGAATGCAAATACTAATTAAATAGTCACCCAAGTAAACATGAAATTGCATGTGGTAAGTGTAACAATGGGGAGGTACATTGTGTAATGACAGCTTAAAATGGAGAATCTGACTTTATCAGAGAGATCCGGAAAAGTATTCTTAAGGAAGTGATCTTTGAGCTGAGATGTGAGAGATGAGTAGGAGCTAACAGGGTAAAGGCAAGGGAGAAGAGCATTCTAGGTAGGGAGAACAGCACATGCAAAGGCCCTGTGGTAGCCAGCCACACAGCAAGTACAAGGGCCTGAAACAAGGCCAGGGTATCTGGAGTGAAGGGAGTGAAGCAGAGTGTGGTGAGAGATGAAGCCTTGTAGACCATGGTAAAGGGATGAGTCTTTAT